ACACACACACACACACACACACACACACACACACAAACACACACACAAACACACACACACATGCTCACAAATACACTCATGATCACTCACTTGAAAGGGTCACTAGCAGGGAAGCTGAGGTACTCATAGGTGGCTGATATTGACGCAGCCACACCAAAATCCCCCGGCTCAAGTGTATGCAGCACGTGACCGTTAGACGATTGATACGGAAGTTCTAGGGAGATGAGAGCGTCATCCGTGACGTCAGATGTAGGAACAGTCTCTTCCTCCAGGATATCTATGACGTTGACGGTGACGACAGTTGTGGCCGTGACGGCAGGAGACTTGTTCTCGCGAGCAGTCACGTCAAATGTGATTGGCGTGGAAAGAGACTCGAAATCTGGTGACGTCAGTAAGGTAAGATGACCCAACTGGTCAATGGTAAACAGCGAGGAGCCAGGCGCTTTCACTTCCAGGATATTGTCTCTGTTGGCGCTGTCAGTGTCTGCGTCTGTGTAGGAAATGGTCTCCACTGTGCTCCCGGCCGGCGTGTTTTCAGCTAGGGTCAAAGTGTACGAGTTTTGAGCAAACACAGGAGGCTCGTCGTTTGTGTCAACCACCTGAACCTGTACAACTTTGTACACGTCCCCGATATCTGTGCCGACCTTGACCAGGAGGGAAAATAACGGCTTGGTCTCGTAGTCCGGGGGAACGTTGACCTTTAGTATTCCCCTACTGTCTCCGGCGTTGAGAGATATCTTGAAGGTGTTTGCAAAGTTTCCCAGTTCTATGGTGTAAGTTCCCGTCACAGTCCGGCCTGTGTCCACGTCAATCCTGCCCACCTCCATGTTCGCAGCCTCGTTCTCCATCACTGTCCAGCTGTAGTCCACTGTGGTCAACGTGGTCTTAGGCGGGCTGATGGCCACACTGACCGTCGCTGTGGCTGACCTCTGAGGCACCCCGTTGTCCTTGGCAACCACGGTCAGCGTGTACGCGTCATTAGCTAGCAACACGCTGGTCACGGTGGTGATCTGACCAGTCTGGGAGTCGATGGCGAAGTAACCGTCGCTGTTGCCTGCTTGGATCTTGTGTCGTAGCTCACCACTGTTGCCGTTATCCGCATCGCTGGCCAAAGCCGTGGTGACCAGAGTACCGAATGTTGCGTCACGTGCCAGTCCTACGTTGATGACCGTTGGGCTGAAGACCGGGTCATTGTTGTTGGGCACTGTGGACTCCACCGTGATGGTCAGCGTAGACTGGGCGCTGCGGATGGGCGTCCCTCGGTCCTCCACCTGGATTGTTAACGTGTAGCTGGGCACTACAGCCGCGTCAAGGAGCTGGCCAGTGGTCAGTATGCCGGTGCTCGGGTCAAGGCTGAAGACGCCGCCGCTGGAGTCGGCGATGATGCCGTAGGAGAGTTCCCCCGCCGGGCCCGTGTCGGCGTCAGTGGCGTGGAAGTGGAACACCTCGGAGCCCACAGGGGAAGAGTCCGGGACGGTGGTCGTGCTGCCCGTGGTGAACATCGGGTCGTTGGTGTTGGAGTCCTGCACCTGTATGACGACGGAGACTTGCGCCGACTTGGCCGGGATTCCCCCGTCGGAGACGCTCAGGAGATAGCTGTACTCGCTCTGACTCTGGAAGTTGAGACTGTTGGCTACTTTGATCGCTCCAGAAGTCGAGTCCACTAGCTCAAAATCAGCCGAGGTTCCCGTGAGTGTGTAGGTGAGGACATTAAAAGGGCTGGAGATGTCTTCATCGATGGCTGTGATCGTGTCTATCACCGTGTTGCCAGTTGCAGTTTCTTCGGCTTGAATGGAGTAGGAACCTTGGGCAAAATACGGAGTGTTGTCGTTGATATCTGTCAGGGTAATAGTTAGTGTGAACTCGGCTTTTTTGCTAATGCAATCAAGGATAATACATGCTACAATATTGAGAACGTAGCTTGAACTAGTCTCGTAATCCATAGTGACCAGACTCACAACTTGACCACTGTCTGAGCGTACAGTGAACCCCCCGACTGGGGTTGCCGAGGAAATGACGTACTGCATCGTTCCGTCAGTCTCTGAGTTGCCGAGGACAGTTGCGTTCAGGTCATATACTTGAAATCCCGCCAACGTCCCTTCCTCGATGATGACTGTGTCCAGGACAGGGTCAAACTTGGGCTCTGAGGCTGGGAGAACGTTCACAACCACTCTAGCTGTGCCGGACCTGCTGGTGGTACCTCTGTCTGTTACCTTGACCTGAAAGCTATACGTTCTCTTCAGATCATAGTCCATGTCCGTGTCAGTCAAGACTTGGAGACCGCTCAGGGAGAAGATACCAGTGACTCCCGCATCTTCAATGACCACATCAGTCTCGGCGTTTACACCGTCGTCTGCGTCCACTACGCTGAGATTTCCAATACTGACCCCCGCCCCCGTGTTGTGATCGACGTTGAACTCATAGACATGCTGGGAGAAGGCGGGATCGTTGTCATTGATGTCCGTTACTGTGATGATCAGCGAGGCTGATGAGGAGACGCTGTTCTGGTCAGTGGCTTTCAAGACCAATGTGTAGGAGGCCGTCCGTTCACGGTCGAGAAGTTTGACTTGTCTGACAATTCCCGAGACCGGATCAACGGCAAAGTCGCCGTCTGTGTTTCCTGTGGACATTGCGAACACGTTTATTTCGTATAATATTTTTTTTACATTTATCCTGCCACAGTGTTAAAGTAAAGTAGTGCAGATAAGGACTAATTTTGTTGTCACGTTTATAAATTTGATAAAACACTGATGCTAAGGTAACAAAGTCGTTTTTATCTTTTTCTTCCACCCACTGGACTGTAGACAAAATCGAAATAATGTTAGTGGGACCGGAGCACACCTTTCGACATACATGTACTCGCCTGAGCCAACAGAGCAGGATAACAAGTTGTCGATATACTGTCTACAGGGGATGAGTTGATGTCAGGGAATTGAAAAATATGATCAACTCATCCGAAATCCAACTTATTCGTCAGGACTGGTAAAGAAGTAAAGGTGCCGGAACCCTAGAAAAAAGATAAACTTAGTCGGAGATAAACTCAAATGAGTTCAAAACAAGCGGAGTCGACAGTACTCACCGGAGTCAATAGAATAGGAAAACACGGTATTGGCGTCTGCATCCGTGGCCTGGATCTGCACCACCGTGATCCCCAGAGCGTTGTCTTCTGGCAAAGTCAAGGTCGAGATACCAGGGACCAGGGCAACGATAGCGAGAACGTCGTCAAAGTTCTGCACGTTGATGACCACAGTAGTGGATCCTGGAGAAATACGAATGGACAGTGTATATTTGTTTGACTCAATTTTTAATCACTTATTAATATGTCATACTATTACTATTATTATTATGCCAATAGACCAGTACATATTATTTAAAATGGTAGGCTTCGAATCAAATAAAAGGAGATACATAAGAGGCCATCTTGGGAGAATTGGCTTGTAGGAAACACTATAGCGGTGTCGGAAGGACGTTTCTCAGTTAACATTGCAAGTTATCCTCTCCGTGTGTCTGTTTGCTTTTCTGTCTTTGATCCCTCTGTTGATATAATTCTTCTTGTCTTCAACTTCCTGTCCATCCTTAAGAGTGTTTTCCCATCTACCTTTTTCTTAATAGAGCGTCTTTTAATTTAACCATTCTTTTTTCTGCTTTTAGTTAATTATTAGCACACGTCTCAAAGCAGCTTGGGGGCGCTCTGCTGGGGTTGTCAACTGTTCTTTGGTCATCTGTAACATTTGTCGGTCGATTGTGGCCATTGTAGTGTTATTTGAAAGCTACGAGTACTATGGATACTAACATTCTGAGATTTCATTACCAGTCTTGGGCGTTGGTCCTCCATCCACTGCACGCAGCACCAGAGTGTACAGCGTTGTCGTCTCGTAGTCAATGGCGCTGGTCGCGCTGAGTGAAAGTTCTCCGGATACTGAATCGATGGTGAAGTAGTTGGAAGGGTCTCCTGGGGAACAAGCAGAAGTTTTTATGTCCTTTTCGCATGTATTTAAAGTCTTTCTGAAGTAGTGACCAGAATAAAAGTTATGCAAGTCTAGTTAATTCGTTGAGGAAGTCTATTTCATCTCGTAACCCCATCTTTCTGTTGGTACACTACATCTCACGTTGTCTGACATGCAGGGTCGAAGCAGCCAGCCTCTTATATTATCTTAAATATGTCGATCGGTGATTGAGACGCAAAACATTCAGTGTCAAACTCCTCTTATCCCCGTCGTTTGATATTCTACTACCCGGGCGTAGGATAACATGTACTCATGGCAAATGTTTTACAAGAATTATTCAATCATAAGAACAAATTATGTTGAGAGATCTACCAAGCCTTACCAGAAATTATTGAGTGCGTGACTGTCCCAAACTCCCCTATGTCCGCATCTGTTGCCGAAAACGTCGCAATGTCTGACCCCTGCGGTAAATTCTCTATCATATTGACCACAAAGAGGCTTGAGCCGAACGTCGGTGCGTTGTCATTGATGTCACCCACGTTAACGGTGAGAGTTCCCGCCGCGACCTGGTTTGAACTGGTAGAGGCCCGAACAGTGTATGTGTGGGTCTCCTGAGCCTCCCTATCATATGGCAGCGCAATGATCAGGTCACCAGAAGTACCGAATACTACAGCATTCAGATCATCATTCCCGGCAGTGATCTCTACTTTGGCGATGGGAAAGGTTCGTGTGAGGGAGAAGGAGTAGGGGACTGGGCCCGTGTCGCCCTCCGTGACGTTGATGGTATCTGGGAGGTTGAGCAGTTGGAGGAACTCTTCTGTGAGAACTGTGAACGTGACATTGGTGGAGTCGATGCCGTCGGTGACGAGGATGGATAGAGAGTACGTGGTGCTCTCCGGAACCTCAGACAGAACCACGTCAGCATTGTTCATCTGTTGGCACAAACGACAAGACAGCGCTGATAGAAACAACAAAGTGGTTAGTCTAATGTATATAGGCTGTGAGTGTATGTCATCTTTGTATTTAGTTCTTTTATTTTCGTACATCAAACATTGTCCCCGACCCCCGTCCCCCTCATATCTCTCTCTCTCTCTCTCTCTCTCTCTCTCTCTCTCTCTCTCTCTCTCTCTTTCTCTCTCTCCCTTCCTATGATGAAATGTTAGTTAACCCATACCCATACCATATAATTGTCTGTCAGACACTGACTAAAAAATAGGGCCCCACCCTTATAGCTGGATAATTTCGCTGATAGACATTAAATGGGGGGTGAATCCTATCTAGTAACCATGCCATGGTAAAGTTTTGAATCTTATTCGTAAAGACAGTATATCACGTTTCTGGGGAGCCAAGAAAAAGAGAAAAAAAAAAACCCAAACATCTTTGCCTCTCAAAGGCCAGTTGCTTTGAATATCTCCAAAACACCACCCCGGTCTTAAGTATTTTTATATCAATATCAGACTACGGCAGAACTGTGCGACGTGTTTTAAACTATCAGGTGGAATCGATAATCCAGTTTCGACCAAAACTGGATATTATACACTGTCTTTTAACAACAAAACTCCAGAAAAGGAAGCTAAATCGATACCATCTAACTATACTCTCCCAAATGACGACTTACTGAGAACGTTCCATCGTCTGGATCTGCTGTGAGTGCGTACGTGAACGTGCCCATGGGATCATCGGGGTCAGAACATGTGAGGCGAGCGACCACGTAACCGATTGACGTGGCATCTGAGATCACGGTGGTTGTCACGCGGTCACACGTGATGGGCACGTCATCCACGCCTAACACGGTACCTACGTATGTTGCCTGTGTAAACAGAATTTAGATGTTTTGCTTTGCATCTGATTGTAAATGAATAATTTTATATGTTTTACACCCTTAATCCTCCCCCCCTCTAACCCCTTCACCCACTCTCTCTCGCTCTCTCTCTCTTTCTCTCTCTCTCTCTTTCTCTCTCTCTCCCCATCTCTCTCTCTCACAAACACACACACACACATACACACACACACACACACACACGCACACACACACATACACTCACACATCCTTACAATCATTTACATTATCTAAGAGGCGAGCAGGATAATTCCGCCCTCTACGACCAACCTGAATTTTGTGAGAGATATTCCAAATGAAAAAAAAGGAAAGTTCCATGTACTTCATAATAAATTATATCGTTCCAACTTATTGAAATCTCTCTTTACAATGACATTTGGGTCTCTTCGTATTATTGCGCCAACAAAACACCCTTACAATCCCACAATCCTTAACAATGTACTCCCATCCCCCGTTTCTCCAAGTTTTCCTCACGGTGGCAGTTCGGGGTACAGTGCCCGACTTGTCTGTGGCCTGAATCACGAAGGTGTAAGAATCCTCTGTCTCAAAGTCCAAATCAAATGCAACTCGGATGATGCCTGAATGGGAATCGACCAAGCAATTGAATGAATTTTAAAGACATTTTTAAAGACCATTCTGTCTCAGAGGTTACATTACAAAAATCAAACATGAAAAAAAAGAGACACATTTTGATAATTTTGATAAAAGGTAACTATTTTTTTGGGTCTTGTTTTCATAGTAATACCTGTAATTACTTATAATTTGTTCTGTCTATCTATCTATCTATCTATCTATCTATCTATCTATCTATCTATCTATCTATCTATCTATCTATCTACCTATCTACCTATCTACCTATCTATCTATCTATCTATCTATCTACCTGTCTACCGATTCATTTGTCTACCTTACTAGTTACTAGAGTGGTATAGAAAGAGAGATGGAGAGAAAATAATGGGAAGCCGGGATGGGGGGGGGGGGGGGGGGTTGGAGATAAATGACTTACAGACAAACTCACAAATCGACAGACAGACAGACAGACAGACAGACAGACAGACAGACAGACAGACAGACAGACAGACAGACAGACAGACAGACAGACAAGACAGACAAGACAGACAAGACAGAAAGACACACAGACAGGCAGACAAGCAGACAGCCAGCTCGCCATGCAGAAAGACAGACAGAAAGAGAGACATACAGCCAGCCAGACAACAAACCAAACAGAAAAACATACAGCCAGACAGCCAGTAAACCAGACAGACAGACAGACAGACAGACATCCAACCAGACAGACACACAGACAGACATTCGTACCAGTCTCACTGTCCACCGAGAAGGGTACACCTGGTGTGACGACTGTGTACAGGATCTCCCCGTCCACCCCGCTGTCCTGGTCAGAAACCTGGGCCTCGTGGACAGACGTGCCTGAAGATTTACAGCAATATAGTATTGTAAATTATTAGTATATTCACGCACGTGCACACACACACACACACAAATACACACACACACGGACACACACGGACGCACACGCACACGCTCACGCGCACACACACACACACACACACACACACACACACACACACACACACACATGCGCGCACACACACACACACACACACACACACGCACAAATACACATTCACATATATAAATATATGAAATGATTTCATATATATATATATATATATATATATATATATATATATATATATATATATCGCTGGTGGAGTGATGAAACCTCGTAACCCCAGAAAGGAAAATTTTACAGGAGAGACAAAAAACTGATTTACTCTTGAATAAAATGACCTATATGAACCAAAGTTGGTACAGATAGATAAAAACATGTTAGAAACGTGGTTAGTACATAAAAATAACTTTTCTATTGTTTATGTGGTTACGCTGTGGGATACGAGGTTTCATTACACCATTTTTGTCGTGATGAAACCACGTAGTCAGCCGGCGGGAGGGTTGCGAGGTTTCATCAGGACAGAGTTCGAGGGTTGCGAGTTTTCTCGCTGCTCATTTTGGTTGCAGTATGCGTCTGTTGTTTGAAACGCCACAAAGTGATAAAGATGTTTATTCGAAACCAATTGATTTAGAGTTCGATTCCCGGCCAACTGAAGTCAAATAAATGTGTGTTACCTGCAGAATTTATGTTTGAATCCTCAAACGGATTGCTATTAATGCAATTTGTTTCACTATAATTTGCCAAGATTAGATCTGGTTACTTCCAGTTTTACTAAAATGCACAAATTAAAAATAAATCTCTGCAATATAGTCTCTGTTTGCACTACAGATTGTTTTCATAAGAGATGTTGAATCATAATGAACAACCATTAATGTTAATGGTATAAATTGTCATGAAGTGACGATGCATATTGGCAATAACAGATTTAAGCACCTGTAGGTGATTGTACTTTAACGTTTTGTGTAGAGTGGTGAGGTAGTTTATGTGTCCTTCGGAACGGAAGCCCATTCATATTTGAGGTGCATCTTGAACTGGATGTTCACGTCTGGGATGTACTTCAAACACCCGACAATAGGATCACCGGTTTTTCTACCTAGTTTTATAGACTTGTCGTAGCTTCCACACTTAGAATATACCTTGAAGAATGTGTGATCCGAATATTTTTTTGGATAAGTTTCTTGTTTTGCTCTTGCCATCATGAAGAAATGGAGGTAGTCTTGAAGGACCTCGATGCGTGTTTTTCGAAGCGATCTCTTAATAGTTGAGTTCACACTGTTAATTTCCATTTGTGTTTGTCATTTAATATAATGTTTTTGTTCAATTGTGCTTCCATGTGTTGTTGAAAACAGGCTGAGAGAAACATTTTCTAGTGTGGCATTTCTGTATTGGTAACCACAGTTTTCGCTGTCGATAATGGTTTTCTGGAAGTCCAGCTTTTCCTTCAGGAAATCCAATAGACATGAAGCTAACTCATTTGCCAGAAGTCCCCCTTCTGCTTCATGACACACGTTAAAAAGTAGTCTGGCGTGTTGCAGCATCCGATAGCGTAAAGTTATGAACGGCGAGTATCGTTTTATAATGTAAGGCTGATGCTGAAGATCCATTGAAAGTACGGCCATTTTAGGTTCATCACTGGCTAGAGATTTGATGGATTCAGGTTTATCTCGTTCCTTTTCTTTGCACTCTGCCTCCTTTTCTAGAATGTGAGCATTCCAAAGATCCTCCAGCACATTGTAAACTTCACGACTGATGCAAAGGTCGCACATAATATCTATCTTTGACATGAACAGCCACAGGTGATTCTGCTTGAATGCTTCATCGAGGCGGGTCTGTTGAGAGGCCGCCTCCCGTAGTCTTGGCAGAATTGTGCATATATTTTGTAGACACCTGAGTTGCTTTGATAATTATTGGTTCTAAGTTTCTTACAAATCATTCATCCAACCCAGTTCAATCCAGGAACATCTTTTAACACACTGGCACTTTATGGTCACCTTTTAGAAGTGTTTATTGAAGGTATTCCCTATCTGTTTAGTCTCCTCCGAGGTCCACTAGTCATCCCATGAAAGGGTCCACACTAAATCAAAATTAGAATGTCTATCAACTTCAGAGAGCCTTTTACATTTCAGAGTCCAGCTCTTGCAATCACAGTTTGGTTTCAATAACTTAGCTGGGATTTTCATTGAACCTTTACGTATTCCGATCCTGTCCTGATCCACGGATAACTTTTCGCTTATTTGTTGCCACTCCTAAAAACCCTTTCTTTTCCTCTGTGGAGCATCATTTATGCTGGCATCACAAATGGGCTGTGTCTGGGGATCAGGCTCCAGGAAAAGTGGCTAAGGTGCCTGAATTTGGTCTACAGATCGTGTTGCTGTGACCTCGAAGGTAATAATTCAGCATCTGACTTACAGCTGCCTGGTGAAACGTCAGTATGGTTTGGGGTATGATTCCAAGCGACACCAGTGTTGGTGCAGACTCAGTCTGGGATGAAGCTGATACTTCCTTATATCCACATATCAGGGACAGCCCTGGAAAGGACTGCGACATGGTGGGTGGGGTCAATTCATGGAACGTGGTCTGCCCAGCCCTTGTAGGGTATAAAGATCTAGGTGATGAGCACAGTTAGAAGGAGATATTCAATACCGATTAGGAAATGTCCGTATTTCATGTACTTGTGTTGTTGAGGCACAAATTTGTCACAATGTCCTCTAAAGACTTCAGAGTCATCAAGACCATGGTTATGTTCAGTACTATTCGGTCTCAACCACAACTGGAGGATTCGACTACACAGCGGGTTTATAGTCTGAGACTCCCTCGGGGCGGTGCCACTGACAGAAATGTCTTTAGGCAATTACCAAAGGGGGGGGGGAGACATTTCTCGTTCTAGTGCACAGTAGAATTGTAAATGGACTGATCTAACAATGTCATGCTCATAAATGTGCCTGAACTACAACAGGGCACTGCTGCTTTTTCTGTCCTAATCCTTACTATCGTCATTTTCCTCTACTTCTTCTGTATGTTTGTCACACTCTTGTGACCCGCTATTTCCGGGGTGCCTTGATAGTCGAAGCAGACTTTGTGCTGCTGAAGCTAGAGAGGCGAGCACAGTAAGTCTGATTCCCTGTAAAGATTTCTCTGTTGACATTCAACCCTTGGCGTAAAACCTGTACTAACACTAAAAATAGTCTGAGAAGATGCGACACTTTACCCTCTCTTTGATAAACAGAATGGCCTGTTGACATCAGGAGAGTGCACAGATCTGTCACCTAGTCTTGGTAAGGACTACCGTCACCTGTCATTTCAAGGTGTGACTGTTGCCTTAACTTAAATGTTGCCTTAACTTAAATGTTGCCTTAACTTAAATGTTAACTACGTTTGTGCTCGATGAGAACATCTTGATTACCAGCACGTTAGTCATCCTAATGAATGGATTTTTAATATATTTACACAATGTAAGTACTTCACTTATGACCATATTTGAACTTCTGAACTGACTGAAATAAAGTGAATGAATTAAAGAATGAATGAATGTAAGGATGAATGAATGAATGAAATATTTCTTTATTCCGTCAGATACATTAAATGCACCAGACAATGTCAGTTATGGGTGCTTCAATTAAGCTAATTCATATAGAAGGCTTATCCAGAACCTCGTATAAGCACGCCGCTCTTTCAAACCGGGAGTGATGAAACCACGCAAAAGCAGATCGGCGCACCAGGTGAGGGTTGCGAGGTTTCATCACGCCAGGATATCATGGGGGAAAACATACGAGGTTTTTTTATTAAGTTTTTTTCATACTTTCTCGTACTAATTTAACCTTGTACTTTTGACACATTGTGAAGAAGGACTGGGAGAAGACATTAAGTGAAAAAAAAGAATTTCGAAAAAATTGAGGGTTACGAGGTTTCATCACTCCACCAGCGATATATATATATATATATATATATGATGTTTGCATATATATATATTATTATATATATATATTATATATATATATATATATATATATATACGAGTAAAGGAGTAAAAGAAACAGTTAAAGCAGTTTTTACGGGGCTTTCGCTCGTGGTCTAGAGATTGAGTGTTCGCCTCTCATTCAGGACGTCTCGGTTTCGAAACCTGACAGCTAGCAAAAATACACTTCGTTTTTCTTAACCTCCATTCCCTCTCTCTTTTGCTTGCCACTCAAATTAGATATATAGTCCTTTAACTGGACAAAGGAAAAGCTCGTCAAGTTATGCCTTCCAAACACGGTCTAAATGAATGAACGCACTGTGAAAAGCGCTAATTCATCGGATCTAGGTCATAAGAGTAGTGGTAAAATCGTTTTTATCTTTTCGGTTGTATTTGAAACTACAATGCCACGTTCAAGGTGCTAATAATTGAGAAAGAACAATAGGCCATTTTGAGGCTGGACAAAGGCCAAATTGTGGTCGCCAATCATTTTCGAGTTCACATCTGGTACGTGTAAGATAATAGGCTATTGTGCATATTACATTGATATGTAAATGTATAAGATATTTCTTTGTGAAAATTAGTCATGCCCTGAGCCCGGCAATGCATACGCTAAAAATGTAGAAAAAAATTTGAAAATAAAACAACAACAACAAAACTTACGAACGGTCATGATACAACTGAAACTTGAATGGCTGCTGACAAAACAAAACTTTCATTCTCTATAGACAGAACAACAAGTTCGTATTGTCTCACTCTCCCTCCCCCCCCCCCCTTCTCTCTCTCTCTCTCTCTCTCTCTCTCTCTCTCTCTCTTTCTCTCTCTCTCTCTCTCTCTCTCTCTCTTTCTCTCTCTCTCTCTCTCTCTCTCTCTCTCTCTCTCTTTCCCACTCTCTCTCTCTTTCTCTCTCTCTCTCTTTCTCTCTCTCTCTCTTTCTCTCTCTGTCTCAGTCACATGCATGTACCGAAAACAGTGACAGTTCATCGTTATGACAAATACGCATTTGTGAATAAATAGTGCTTCAGCTTGTTTGTTTCTAACATTTGAATAACAGTGGCAGTCCTTATTTTGTATAGGAGTTCGTTCCACATGACTCAAAGTATCTCAGGGCAGTACCCTTTACACAAAAAGTAATATTTATAGCAAAAACAGTTTCATGGCGCAAATTATCCTCAAATGTCTCTTTAACGGATGACTCATCTTCACCCATACTTTGCACAACAGTCTGTAAGAATTTGTCTTAACCATATTTTCCCACAACAATTGAGGCTAGATTTTAAAAAAATATTTCTTCTTAAATTGATATAAAATACTATAAATCTCCGTCGCGCAGAAAACGGGATTGTTCACAGTTATTCCAGCTTCTCACACACATTTTGCACATGCCTGAGGCCTACGCCACAACTCACCAATGATACTTTTTAATCACAACACTTCTGACCAAACAATATTTTTTTTATAGTGAACACATTTTTTTTTTGCCCTAAAAGTTCTCAAAAACATGCCTTCAATAAGCATAAAGTCACGATTAGAGAAAAATGCTGGCTTTGCGTTTAGAAGAGATTTTGCCAAAGTCGTAAACTTTTAAAAATTTGTAGAAACCATCGACTAGGAATTTTTACTAGTATGACGTATTAAGGAATTTTCTACAATACAGTATACAGGTGTTTGAAAAAATATCCATTTGTTAAGACAAATTGATATGTGTTATTGTGCAAAAGTTGGAGAAACTATGTTCGATAGTTAAGAAGATATTTGACTGTAAGTTGCACCACGAATTTGTGATCCCACTATGATCTCTTGGAGTAAGATGTCATAATAAAAGGTGTCGTACGCAGCCGAAAGTTCCAAGAGGATAAGAAGACACACCTTTCTTTTCATCAATTCCTTTAAAAATGTCAGTTCAGAACTAAAGTAACGGTGTCTCGGTACTATGGTGTGCCTTGTATGTTGACTGATAAACTTCGCTTACATTATTATTGTGTTTAAGTGCTTTAAGAGTCTGTTAGAAACATAGACACTTATTCTTATTATTTGGGAGGAGCGCTGCTTAGACCCCGGCTGTGAAGGATACAGTATCACAGCAGTGAGATAACGGAGATAATCGGTACAAATCCTCTCCGTACTGGAATCAAAGTAATGTCTTCTTCGTGCGATGGCTAAGGGCCCAACCTCTACGCCGCAGAT